GAGGAGGAGGAGGAGGAGGAGGAGGAGGAGGAGGAATACATGGCAGAGGAGGAGCTTGAGGAGGCCCCCCCGAGACGGAGGACCGAATCCCACGGTCGCGCCGCATCAGTGGACACGCGAAGGACTCTTCTGCCTCTTCGGTGGCGAGCGAGAGGGAGGGACGTGAGCAGGAGGAGGCCTTCTCAGAAGGCGGGTGTTTTTCTTCAGAAACCCTCGCGCCTTTGAGAGGTGTTCTGTTTCTTCGGGGAAGGCTGGGAACACTTCTCAGGAGGCCTGGGGACTTCCGAGCCTTCTGAGAAGGCCTCCCTCTTCTCACTTCCCCTCTGAGCTCGCCGCCGGCTGTTGACTCCGCCCTTCCTCCCCCCTCCCTCCCTCCCTCTGACGATTGGACGCCCCTCTTGGCGATCGGACGCCCGCCCTCCCTCCCTCCTGGTGGTTGGCGCGTTTCCCTTGCCTCCGCCCTCTGCCCTTCTCTTGCCCCTGCTCTCCCTCCCTCCCCGCTTGCGATCGGGCGCCCCTCCTGGCGATCGGGCGCCCTCCCTCCCTCCTGAGGCTCCGCGCGTCTCTCTCGCCTCCGCCCTCCCCCCTGGCGATCGGGCGCCCCTCCCGAGCGGCCCGGCGCCGAGGTGGAGGTGGCGGGGGAGGCGGCGACAAACACAAAGGGGCAGGCCCCGCCAGAGCTGCAAGTGTACCACCGCGACAGCTTCATGTGCTGCAACTACTCGCCTCGCGAAACCTAATCGGCACCGTGAAATAGGCCTTCCACTCCGCACTCCTTCAGTCCGACGACGAAGAAGCAACTACGAAGAAGAAGACGAAGATTTCATCAGACCGACGCAGCACGATGGGGTTCGGGGACGAGCCACCTTGCTTCCTCCCCCTACTCCTCCAACTCCGCTCCTCTCCACTCCCCATTCCCCTCTTCCTTCTCCTCCTCCTCCTCATCCTCCTCCTGCCCCCCCTCCTCCTCCTCCTCCTCCTCCTCCTCCTCCTCCTCCTCCTCTTCCTCCTCCTCCTCCTCCTCCTCCTCTTCCTCCGCCTCCTCCTCCTCCTCCTCTTTCTCCTCCTCCATCTTCTTCTCCTCCTCCTCCTCCTCCTTCTCCTCCTCCATCTTCTTCTCCTCCTCCTCCTCCTCCTCCTCGTCCTCCTCCGTAGCCATTTTGGCTCAAGATGCATGGTTCCACAGGGGAACAAGTGGATACCGCTAGTCCGCGGCTGACAAGACCCTTTGCGGTCTGGCAGAGTTTCTTCCTCGTCCTGGCGCTCGCCCCCACGGGTTAACGGAGGTGTTTCCCGTTCCTGTGCTGTCGAGCGTCTCAGTCACCATGGGGCTTCCCGACGCTGCTGCGCTCGCCCAGGTTGCCCAGGAGCTCGATGACATGCCCACCTTTCCTGAGGATGATCGTGCTGATGGCCGCCATGATCGGGGCTCGCCTGAGCCCAAGTACCCGCGCACCGAGGACGGCAAAGGCGGCAACGCCAGTGGCAAAGGGGTCGCAGGCATGGCTGCCCGCGCAGCTGGTGCAGTCGGCTCAGCTCTCTTTGGCGGTCGTGGCGATTCTCAGTGTACTCCTGGCTCCTCTCCTGCTGGTGTCCCTCGTGACCCTGCCCAGCCTCCACATCAGCAGCCACAATATGATGATGACTATATCAGGCACGTCGCAGCCAACGCAGTTGCTGAACAATTCGGAGAGCTACGGTCCGAACTGGAATCTCTGGTTGGATCTGCCGTCGGCGCGACTGTGCAATCTTCCAACAAATCTATTCTCGACACACTGGAGTCCCTGCGCGTCCAGATCACGGCTCAGCCGAAAGAGGTCGACCAGCAGATTATGGCCACTGTTCGCCCCCACATCGATTCCATTCACCGCGGCTTGCAGTCCAAGATTGACTCCCTTGGTTCCCACGTCAACACGCTCTCGATTGATGTCGAGAAGCACACCGCAGACATTGCCAACCTACGTAAGCAGATGGAGGAGCTCCGCGGCGAACTCATGGTCGCCAAGAGCACAGAGAAGGCACCTACGGCACCGCCCTTCTTCGATCGCGTGGAAGACCCCTCTGTTGTCGTCGCCATGGCCACGAAAATGGTTGGGATCGAGTCTGTGCGTGCATCACTCTCCCCATTCTTGGCGGAGTTGGGCTTGGACGCATCGTCTTACACTATCAAGTCCACTGGTCCGATGCCAAGCAGAAGGTACCTCGTCTCATTCAACGGCAGTGTGGGGCTCGCGTCCAAGTATGTCAACAAGGTCTTATCCAATCTTAGGCAGAACGATGACTGGCGTATCTTCGAGGCCGATGTGTCAGGCTCTGCTCCCGCTCGTCTCCATCTCGGACCAGACAAAAATCCAAAACAAATTAAAACGGAAATTGCGCTCAGGAAGCTTCGCACGGCCATGGCTGGCAAACACGACGGACGCTGGGTTGTGGACAGAGAGCGTGGGGTCCTCCGCTGCGGGTGGACGCACATCCTCAAGCTCTCCGCCCAGCCTGATGACCAGCCCTTCGACATCTTCTACAACGACGAGGGCCTTAGTGAAGTCGGCATTGCCAAGCACGAGGTTCGTGAGCTGGTTCAGTCCACCATTGCACCACCACCGCCGCCGCAGTGGTGCCTTTAACGAGATGATGCAGATGTTCACCCTTCCTCAATCCAGAGATGGCGGCTCCGCTCTGAGATGTGCTACCTGGAACGCGAGGGCGCTCCTGCAGTACCAAGGGGCGAAGGCTATCCCCAAGTTGCGATATCTACAGCAGATCCACCTGCAGTCCACGTTGCTGGCGATGCAGGAAGTTCATGCCGATCGTGTCCAACTGGAGCAGTTCGTGCTCCAAGCCCATGCCCATGCTGTAGTCCACGCCTCATTTTGTGCAGTCGATCAAGGGGGATCGGGCGCGGGAGGTGTCGCTACCATTCTTCCTCGACTCGCTCTTGACGGAGCATCGTCTAGCTGTGCCGCGCCGCTCATCCCAGGAAGGGTCCTGCAAGTTGATGTGCATAGACGTGGCTTTCAGTTGACGCATTTCAATATACACAACCACGGCCTCACAAGCACCCAGGTGGACATGGTCTGTGAGCAGATCGACAGGTATCGGGTCGCGGCGGCGTCTGACCCTACCCACCACCTGGTCATTGTGCAAGGCGACCTAAATTTTGGCCCCGACGAAGCCCTCGTGTTCCATCGCCCGCTGCCTGCGCGTGCTTCTGATCCTCGGAATCATCGTGCCCAAGCTGCCCGTTGGCTGCGCTCTCTTGGGGCGCTCCTTGAAGTCTCATCGTCGGCGGCCACTCACTATACGAAGCATACCAACTCTGTTAGTTGCATCGACAGGTTCTTTTGTTCGCTACCAGGATGGATGCTATGCCAGGTACATGCTGAATCCACCACGGTCGGTGAGCCAGAGGCGTTGTCCCGTGCTCAAATATCTGATCATGCCGCGCTGGTGACAACGTTGCGCCAGCGACGTCACAAGCCTCGGGGAGAACAAGCTATTCCGCGGCACATCTTCCATGACCCGCTCTTCAAGAAGCGTATCGAGGGGATGGTTGCTGATGGCCAGAACGCTATTACTGCACATGCTGGCACTATTTATCAGGAGCATTTCAAAGAGATGCTCAAAGAGGCTGCGCGGGAGGTGCGCGACATGCTCTTCACGCTGAAGGCGGAGAGTGATGAGACGGCGATCATCGTGGCCCGCAGCTGCGCCCGAGCCGTCTGGCGACAGGACGTCCCACTGGCTCGACGACTTATTTCGACATCACAGTGGGCATCAGAATCACTGCAAATTGAAGGCTCACAAGTTCGTCTTCGACATGCTGAATCATTTCATTCTTGGTCGGATGGAGTCCACATGCGGCTCCTGGAGAAAGAATTGCAAGCCAATGCCGATCATGCCGCTGGTCTCTCTGCCTCTCACCGCCCCCTCTCCGCCTGCCGTCGTCAGCAGCTATTGGAACGGAAGGCAGCCATCTGGGCCCCTTTCTCTCGCCGACTCATCTTGCAGACGGTTCGGTCCGGGCCCGTCCTGTCACACTCGCCTGAAGATCGGTTTCAAGCTTTGAGTACCTACTGGCGCCCTGTATTCTCCCGAGGCTCTGTCCCTGGCCCCCGCATAGAGGCCTACCTCCAGGATCACCTGAAAGCCCCCATCCAATGCGAAGTCCCACCTCCCACTAAAGCTGCTATCCGTCGAGCTGTGCGAGGTGCACGGCACTCTGCCCCAGGTGTGGACGGCGTCCCCTATGCCGCCTGGAATGCTTCTGATTGCTGCGTCGACGTCTTGTGCAACACCCTCGACTTGGTGCTCGGCGGGGGGGCCCTCTTCGATGCCGCGAGTGTCACGTTGCAGGCCTTCTTGCCCAAAGGTTCTGAGGAGGAAGACGAGGCCTCTGGAGGCTGTGCACGGTCAGCGGACAAAATTCGAGTGCTCGGGCTGCGAAACACCGACCTGAAAATCATGACCTCTGTTGTCAACCGCTCGCTCCGTAAAGTGGTGGAGGAGGTGGTTCCCTGCTCGCAAAGGGGGTTCGTGGTCGGCCGTAATTTCGGATACAATGTGATCGAACTCGACGGCATAGGAAGGCTTGCCGCTGCTCACCCTTGCTCCGACCTGTGCGACCCCCTCCTGATCTCGTTTGATTATGGCCAGGCGTTCCCCAGTCTCTCCCAAGAGTATCTGCTGATGTTGATGAATAAGCTCGGGCTTCCTGGGCCCCTCATGTGGTTCCTCTCGTGGCTGTACCTAGCGATCCAAGGAGTTGTGGCCCATGCTGGCCAGCTTATCCCGATATACTGGTTGCGGTCTGGGATTATTCAAGGATGTGGGCTCTCAGGGAGCCTCTACGCCCTCGGCGCGGCCCCCTTTCTCTGTGCGCTGGAGGATACTCTGGAGACTCCTGGATATGGTATTGCTCGGGCGTGTGCTGATGAGATAGGAGCGGTGGTGTATGAAGCAAGGCACCTCAATGTGCTGTATGATGTGATGGCGGTCACGGAGTGTCTCACAGGGCTGAAGCTTAAGCCCCTGAAGTGCAAAATCGTCCCGCTCAAGGGGGAGTTCACCGAGTCCCTCCAGATCCACACTATGTCTCTCGTGGAGCGCCTCGTCCCTGCCTGGCGCGCCTTCGAAGTGGCCTCCCACGTCCTCTACTTGGGCCTCCTGCTGGGCCCCGCCGTCACAGTTGACATGCAGTGGCTCGCACCGCTGCAGAAGCTCAAATTACGGGCCCGTCTGCTTGGGTCTGGGGCTGCCCCCGCTAGTATCAACGGTGTACTGTACTCGTCCAGGGTGTTCTCAGTGGTCTCCTATGTGGCCCAATTTGTTCCGCTCCCTCAACGACACGCTGCTCTGGAACTGGGGATTCTCGCGCAGGTTTTCAGAGCCCCCCTTGGTATGCTCACTACGGCTGGCTGGGCCCAACTTGGCGAATGGGGTGGCCCTCATGTCCCCCTGCTGCTTCACTCGTGCGCTGCTGCCTATGCTCGAGCTGCCCTAGTCACGTTCTCTAACCACACTACCATTCTTGATCGCTTCAGACAACTTGAGTCTGAATGGAGATATTCACTCATGGAGGGCCGATACGATGATGCACCACTGGCGGCGATTCGAGCACGTGAAGATGCACTTGACCATATTGGCACGCACTGGCAATCCCCGTCGTTCTTGTTGGGATATGCATCGGTTCTCCAGCCAGGCAGAGAGGCGGCTTACCCTGCCGAGATCAATGACAGGTGCGTGCAAGCTATCGCCCAGGAGCTCCAGGTCACCGACAGGAAGCCCAAGCCCCAACGTGCAGCCACACGTGCTCTTCGGGAGATGCTCGTGACGCCCTTCCCACTTGCTTCGTTGGTGCAGCGACGTCTTCTGAAATATGTACATGAATGGGAGCCGTTTCTTGATCGTGTGGCGTGGACAGAGATTGGTAGACTCCTCTCGCTGGTTCCCATGAGCTGGGCCATGCCTGTCATTAAAACTTACTGCTCTGGATGGCTTACCTCTTCGCGCATAAAGTATGCTGGAGGCCCCCGCTCGTGTATCTTTGGTTGCCGTGCGCATGCCGATCGACAGTACCATTACATGCGATGCCGTCCGTTGTGGACAGCTGTGTACCAAACACTGGGATATGAGATGCATCCGCTCCTTCCTGACCGCCTGGGGCTTCGGCTCCCTGGCCTCATGCACGTTGAAACCTTGGCGGTGGCCTTCAACATTTACCACAATATGCGCTTTCGTTTGTACGTCACCGCTAATGACCTTCGATCTAGTGCGCGCGCTGCAGTCAGAAACCTAAGGTTGGCCAAACCTGATGCTCAACTGCAAAAGAAATGGCAGCCTCCTGAGGCACTGATCCTCCGCCGCCTACCGCAACCCACGACGACCTCTTCGACCTCATCCAGCGACGTCGAGGATGAAGGGCTGCATCCCGATCAACCTGGAGATCCCAATGACGGTGATGGAGTGGCCGCTGGTAGTCATGGACACACCTCGTTGAACCAGACCTCGGACAGCGAGCCCCGCGACGACACTGATGAAGAATGGTGCTCTGGACCTGGCATGGGCAGGAATGATGGTCAATCACCGTGTCTCACACCGCGGCTTGTTCCCACGGTCCACAACGATGACGGCAGTCTCTCTACTCCCTCCATACCTGGCACCCCAACGACTCTGATAGCGACGCCCTCCAGAGTCGGACACATTGACGACCTCGACGGCCTCGAACCTCCGTCACCGCGGTGGTGGAGTGCAGATAAGGTCAGAACGCCAAGTCCTGGCAATGGGTGCTCCTCGAGCCCAGGTGTCCAGGCATCCAGAGTAAATTGCGAGGAGTTGCTGCAGCTGTCACCTGGAGTCGCGACAAGGGAGGTTAGAACGCTAAGTCCTGGCGGCGGGTGCTCCTCGAGCCCGTCGCCCCAGGCATCTGGAGTGAATTGCGAGGAGCGGTCTCACTGGTGGACGGCAGTCAGAACGCAAAGTCCTGCGCAGGGGTGTTCCTCGAACCCTTTGCCGCAGGCTAGAGTAAATTGCGAGGGGAAGGTCTCTGGCTTTGTGCCGTCTCTGGTCGTGCGACGCTCTCGTCTGGGATGTATTTTGGCGACGACTCCTGTACGTGCTGCTGCTCCTTCGGCGCCCTGTGCTCCAATGCCCTTGGCAGGACTGGCTTCATGTTCTTCGATGACATTGCTTGGGATTTCTTCTCGCTCCCCTCGTACCCTGATGGCCATCCCGTCGACGCCGATTACCCCATGTGCTTCTCGAATGGCGGCTCCTTCCTCTTGTGTTTCCACGGGTCGTGCATCTTCGGCGACGCCGAGTTCTCTGAGACTATCTCCTCCCTCCCCGCGATCCGCGTCGTGGACCCCTTCCCGCTCTGAGCACTCGCCTGGAAAAGCCCACACCATGGCGCCCGCTTTTCTCTCCCCCGTCGCTCAGTGCTCCTCTCCCCACGCGTTCAGGCCTGCCCGTCGCAGTATCTTTTCGACCGCCCCTCTGTCTTCCTCTGCTCCCCCCCTGACCTGGTCTCCCCACGCGCCTGTTCTTTTCTCTGTGCCGCCTCCTCCCTCTCTCGGTCCTTCGCTCCGTCTGAGAGCTGCTGGTGCTGCTGCGTGCTCCTCCCCTGCTCCCCTCCTCGCTTTGCGTTCGTCGCCTGTCCCGCCCTTCGTTGGCGCCTGCGCGCCCCGCTTGAATCCTGCCCCGCCGCCATCCGCTCCCGCTCCCTCCCGCTCTCAACATCCTCTGAATGAAAATGATATAAATTCGACGGCTATCCGCCGTTCATCGTGTGCCGCAGCTTCGGCGGCCTCAGCTACAACAGCTTCGACAGGAGGCGTGCCCCTGCTGCCTCAGGCGCCGTGCTAGGCGCGGGGAGCTGACCTCTGGGTACGCTGGTCTCCTCCTCGTCCTCCTCCTGCTCCTCCTGCTCCTCCTTCTCCTCCCCCTCCTCCTCCCCCTCCTCCTCCTCCCCATCCCCCTTCCCCTCCTCCTCCCCCCCCCCCCCCTCCTTCCCCCTCCCCCTTCCCTCCGCCCCTTCCCCCTCCCCCCTCCCCCTCCCCCTCCTCCTCCTCCTCCTCCTCCTCCTCCTCCTCCTCCTCCTCCCCTCGTCGTTCTCCTCTCCTCCTCCTTCCTCCTCCTCCTCCTCCTCCCCTCCTTCCCCTCTCCCTCCTCCTCGTCCTCCTCCTTCTCCTCCTCTTCCTCCTCTTCCTCCTCGTCCTCCTCGTCCCTCCTCCTCCTCTCCTTCCCCTTCTCCACCTCGTCCTCCTCCTCCTCCTCCTCGTCCTCCTCCTCCTCCTCCTCCTCCTCCTCCTCCTCATCATCATCATCATCATCCCGCCTCCCGCAGCAGGATGGCCCTGGCCACTCGCCGCCGTGTGCGGCGTGGCCGCGCAGAGGAAATGCTTCTCGTTGTTCTGTCCAGAAGCCTCGGGTAGCAGGTGTCATGAGCAAGGACGCCCGCCAGCTCCACGCGCAGCTCGCCTCGCGCAGCAGGATTGGCCCTGGCCACTCGCCGCCGTGTGCGGCGTGGCCGATGACAAGAGATGTCGCCCGTTGCTCCGTCCAAAAGCTCTAGGCCTCCAAGATGAGGTCCGAGTAGATGGGGTCGAATGATCGCGCCGCACTGCCGAGGCATCTGCGATGCGGCTCGCTGTGGAGCCCGATGCTCTCCACGCCGACGTCGCCGGCGCATCGCCGGCGTTGCATCGGCGATGCGGCGCGATCTTCCGACCCCATCTATTCCAACCCCATTTGGGAGGCCTCTAGAAGCTTCCAGTAACATTTGTCATGCCCACTCGTCTCACCAGTCAGGCAGGTGAGCCAGACGAGGGGGCTGCCGATGCCCAGGTCTTATCTCGTGCTGTCTCCCTCGCGGGCTTCGAGCCTTGGGCCAGTCGGCTCCCGGAGGCTCGGGGTTGGACTTTTCGGCCCCTGGCGAGTGGCTCCGTGGGGCCGAGTCGCAACAGTTTGTTTCGTGGACCGCGCGTCTGGGATCTTGAGCGTCGCTGCGCTACACGTTTTAGAGTGTGCGCTCTGCGTGCAGCAAGGGGAGCTCGAGTAGGAGACCAGATGCGGACCCTACCCCTACCCCCACGATTTCTGAGGGGGAGGGTGGGGTTCGCTTCGCTCGGGAGCTCCCGAACGAAGTGAACCCCACCCTCCCCCTCGGAAATCGTGGGGGGTAGGGGTAGGGTTCGCACGTGGCCCCCTATCGATGGGGTCGCGCTCGAGCCTTCTGCTGGCTCCAGCGCGCCTCGAGCCCAGGGCCTCAGAGGCCCGCCCGGCCAGCCCCGGGGTCTGCACCCCCGCGGCGGTGCGCGGCTCACACATTTGAGTGCTGCCGCCACGGCCGACCGCCGAGGCGCGCAGCGCACGCGGCGGCCACGAGGAGCACATGCGCGACGGCATGCCGCTGGCAAAACAAGACGGCTGGTTAGGGGGCCACGTGCGAACCCTACCCCTACCCCCCACGATTTCTGAGGGGGAGGGTGGGGTTCACTTCGCTCGTGAGCTCCCGAACGACATGAACCCCACCCTCCCCCTACAGGTCCACATCGTGTCGACATGCGGCGACCCCGCCGCCGGCGTTCGAGGCTGAACGCCGCCAGCGACCCGGAACCGGTCGACGCTGGACGATCGGACGTTGCGGGAAGGACCGATTGTTCAAGGTTGAAGATCCCCGCGGTGTCAGGAACCACCGCGGGGACCTACACGACACGAACCTGCCGTAGCATCCCTCTCTGCCGCTCTCCTCCTCCTCCTCCTCCTCCTCCTCCTCCTGCCTCCTCCTCCTCCTCCTCCTCCTCCTCCTCCTCCTCCTCCTCCTCCTCCCTCCTCCTCCTCCCCTCCTCCTCCTCCGCCTCCTCCTCCGCCTCCTCCTCCTCCTCCTCTCCTCCTCCTCTTCCTCCTCCTCCTCTCCTCCTGCTTCTCCTTCTCTCCTCCTCCTCCTCCTCCGCCTCCTCCTCCTCCTCCTCCTCCTCCTCCTCCTCCTCCTCCTCTCCTCCTCCTCCTCCTCCAGGGGCGCTGCGCGCCTGGGGGGGTCGGTCGGTTCCGGCAGAATCCCAGGGGCTTTCGGGCCTCTCGGCCCCTCTGGGCCGGCCCCCGATGGGGCCGAGTCGCAACACTCCGGGGCGGTCAGGAGGGGGGTGCTGGCCAGGGGGAGGGGGACATCGTGGCGAGGCCCCTCGAGGCCTGCCCCGAGGGGGCCGAGTCGCAACACTCGGGGGCGGCCAGGAGGGGGGGTTGCTGGCCAGGGGGGGGGGCACGTCGTGGCGAGGGCCATGATACCTCCCCAGATTTCAGGGCGCCTCTTCTCATCTCCTCACGTCCCCACCCACCCCGCCCGGGCCGCGCACATACCGCCGGCCATGATCTGCACCCCCCCCTCTTGGACGCCTCCCTCTTGGCCGCCCCCGAACTACGGTGGGGGCGGTCGATAAGGAATGTGCCCTGGAGGCTGCAGAGCCTGAAGGCTTCCTTGTCTGACGAGGGCGGTGATATCCATTGCCAATCCAAGATTGGAGTTCCACTGGCTTCCAGACCCTGGATTCCTTACCGAAGGTTTCCTTCTCCAATGCCCCCACCGGTCCGTAGCCATTTTGGCTCAAGTCCGTAGCCGTTTCTGGCACAAGGGCTTGAAGTCACCTGGCGTGGGGGAGGCGCGCCCCCGTCCGCGATCCTGCGGCCAGGTTGGCTGCAGACATACTTGTGTGAGCTCCTGTCGGAGCAGCTCCCGTGAGGAGCACCGTACCCTGTAACGACGTCCAGGATTTGCCTCCTGGTGCTCGCCCCATGGCTCCTGCTCCTGCGGCCATGCGGCCTCCGTGGTGGAAACTGCCGACCAAGTTCGTGTCCCCACCCTGGGGAGGTCAACAGAAGCAGCAGTGGCAGGCATGGCGAGACATCGGCTCCGACGACGACCTCGAGGGCTGGCACCAGGTGGGGCAAACTGGAGGAGGGCCGTGGTGCAGTAAGTGCGGCTGCAAGAAGAACTCCAAGGGCAGCAAGTTCTGCAAAGCCTGCGGCCATAAGCTCTCGGACATCAGCCCAGCCGTCGCTGCCGAACCCGCTGGGGTCTGGAGCGAGCAGCGAAGACAGCACGGGGATGCCGATGGCAAGGACGGCAAAGGCGGCAAGAAGGGCAAGAAAGGCAAGGACTCTGGCAAAGGTGACGGCGGCAAAGGTGGTAAAGGGGGCCGTGTTGAGGGAACAGCAGGCGGTGACCCAGCCAAGCTTCCTCGAGCGCCTGGTGCACAGTTCCTGGTGGCCCAGGAGGGACCCTCGGTGGAGCTTGAGTTCCACGAGCTGGAGCAGCTGGTGGCCACGCTGGAGAAGCTGGGCGATACGGTCAGCCTCGCGAAGCACAGGCGCACCCTTCAAGAACGGCGACGGCTCCAGCAGGAGGCGCTCTATGTGCCGCCATTGTCGCAGAGAGTCACGCAGGCCCACAAGCAGGTGCAGGACATCGCGCAGAAACTGGGGAAGGCGGTGCTGCACTTCGAGCGGCTCGAGGAGGGCCTCGAGAGCCAGAGGCGGTGGGTCCAATCTCTTTGCGAGGACATGGAGTCGAAGAAGGCTGAGCACCGCAAGCTGGTGGTTGAGCTCAATCGTCAGGTGGTCGACATCAGCCAGGACTCAACTCCGTCAGTGGCCCCCATCAGTGTGGCTGGCATCCTCGACGGCTCCATCGAGGAAATTCCTCTTTCGTTTGCTGGCCTTGGGTTCGACGACGAGGAATACGAGATGGATGCAAATGACAAGACGGAGCTGGCAGATCGCAGCGCCCGCCTCAAGAGCGAGCTGTCCAACGCCGTCAAGCAAATGTTCGGGCAGGCGGCAGAGAAGGCCAAACTCTTCAAGGAGGAGCAGGAAGCCATGGCTCTACGGCTGGCTGGGAAGAGGCGGCGTCAGGGTTCAGGCCCCGAAGAACCTGGCTCAGCAGGGGCGGCCGCTGCAGGATCAGCTCCGAGAGGCAAGGGCGGCGAGGCAGCGGGCTCCGACGCGACGACGCAGTCGCCTCCCTCCGCAGCCAAGCAGTCGCCCAAGGAGGAGGAGTCATCCAGAGACAACTTCGAGCAGAGGGCGGCCAGGATCTGTCGCCCGCCGCCCCCTCAGGCGGACTCCGCCTGAGGGGGCAGACCCAGTTGACGCAGAGGCTGAGGGTGGTCGGCGGACGCCCTTGGCCGAGGCAGCTGGATCTCTTCGACCAGCGGACCGTTTCTGGAGCAACAAGTCCGTGAACCTCGACTGGCCTCAAGTCGGGGGGGTTTTGGGTCCCTGCCCTGGCCCGTCCAGACAAGGGGGCAACGTTGATCGGAAGGCAGTACTGCAAGCAGCTGTGCGCCGTGCCCGAGGCAGTCCTGCCCGAGCCCTTGGGGCAGAGGCCTGCGGCTATGGGGCTCCCACCCGATGCTGCTGATCCTGAGTGGCAGGCCATCCAGGACTTCAACGACATGAGGGCTGACCTCAGGGACTGGGCTGCCGCCTGGTTTGACTCTTGCACTGAGCTGGAGACAGACAGCGGGCACTGGAGGCGCTGGTGCAAGGCTTTCCTGGGCGCGATGCTCGCGGGCGGCGGGAACGAGCCGCTCAGGCGCCTACTGAGGATCTGGTTCCCAGGCTGGCACTTGGACAATATCCTGGACGAGCTGTGCCTCAGCGGCTGGAGGCAGTCAGAGCCCCGCCGCATTGCCTTTCTGGTCAGGCTCAACAGTGCCCAGCCTCTGGATCGGTGGCGACTCGAGCACGCGCACTGGAGGCAACTGGCCCAGATCAGGGCCATGTTTCGCCGACTACTTGGGGACAGAGCTCCTGGAGACCCAATGCCGCCTCAGAGGCCTGGTGGGGGAATGGGGTCGGACCCTACTCGTCGGCCTGACCCTGATGACGACCAGGCGATGGACTACGTCGACAACCTGACGGCGAAGCTGCCCATGCTGTCGCACGCGCCCTCGCAGCAGCCTCCTGGCGGCAGGGCCTGTCCCAGCCGAGCCAGCCTGCACGTGGAGCAAGCCAGCCATGGTTCGCCCTGGTCAGCAAAGGGAGCCTCTTCGGTTTCGCGGGCTGCGGTGTTAGAACGCATCCCTGGACAAACGCGCCAGAGCAAGGTGAGACCTGGTCCCGAGTGCTCCTCGAGCTCGGGCCAGGCTCAGTCGCCACCCGCTGGATCAAGACCCTCGCCTGTCGAGAGGGTCGTGGATGTTGCAGACAGTCCAAGCTGGGACTCAAGAAGCTTTCTCAACTCCAGTGTCACGGTGGACACCCTGGGCCTCCGATCTGTCCCAGAGCTGCTGAACACCAAGGGGGGCGTCTTGCCACAGAGGGAGGGGCCGCTAACGCTCTGCTTGGCCAAGCTGGTGGCGCCGCCTGTGGCTAGCCCAGCGTCCTTCATCTCTCTGAATGGCACGACATGGAAGGAGGCGCAGACGGAGCTTGAGCGCCTCTCGGACTCCGGCTTGAAGAGAAGGAGAAGGAGAAGGAGAGCGAGGCCATCGGATGGGGCACTCGCAACGGCCTTAACGCTTCATTCAGCCCATGCAGGAGAACGGGAAGCTCGGCCCAGTCGGTGTCATCGGGGGTTGGCTGTCTTGTGGCGGCACACAGAGGATCAGCACCCGTGGACCATGACTGGGGTCCTTTCAGCTCGCGGCTTCTCGCTCGCAGGGTGGTATTCGGGGACTTGATGGTGATCGTGGTCAGTGCCTACCTGGAGCACTCCGCCAAGATGACGGGCACAAGCGTGGAGCTGCTGAGCGAGCTGCAGGTTTTCCTCAACTCTCAGCGCGAGCCTTTTATTGTGGCAGCTGACTGGATCATGGAGCCGCAGCTGTTGGAGAGCTCGTGGTGGCCGCGTTCTGTGGGCGGGGCAGTCGTGGCGCCCAAGTTTCCTACCTGCTCAGTGACCTCGGGGAACGATCGAGTATACGACTACTTCGTGATATCGGCCTCCCTTGCGGCTCTTAGCCCAACGGCAGAAGTGCTCCGGCCAACGTCTACTCACCCCCGTGCTCCAGTGCGTCTTACTTTCAGCAAGCTGGGGGCCCATGCCAAGGTCTGGGTATTGCGAGGCCCCAAGCGATTCGACCTGGCGACGCACATCTCCGACGAGGACCAGCAGAAGGCGATGGAAGACGCCCAGGACATAGTCTGGCAAGCGGCCCTGCCCGCTCCAGGAGTGGGGCCAGACGAGGCAGTGCGAGAGTTTTTCGACAAAGCGGAGACCCACCTGATTGGCATGCTGGGTCTCAGTGACGGCCCCAAGTACAGTGGCAGAGCGGACGGGCTCAAACGGGTAGAGATCAGCCTCAAGGACCTCCAGCGTACTGAGACTTCCAGAAAGGTAAGCCCTTTGACGAGGTTGTGGCTTTCTCTCGGCAGGCTGGTCAAGCAACTCAGGGCGGCAGCTTCGGTCTCAGAGCCAGCAAAATTGCATACGCTATACATGAAGCACCTGGAACGGGCGATCCTCTCACTGGCAGTTCAGTTCGACAGCTAGGGCAACCCGATGTTCAACGGCACCAAGATGGAGACGATAGTCCACGAGGTCAGGAGCGGCTCCATGGAAGGGCTGCAGGTGTTGAAGGCCATCGCCAAGGTCACTGACAAGCACGTCAAGAGCGATGCGTCTGCAGCTAGGACCCGCTGGAAGGAGTTCGTGGACGAGTCGCTGGCGGGAGGAGGCCGTGGAGCTCATGCCATTAGCAAGAAGGTCCACGGCGAGGCGAAGCCGATCTTGGCGGACGGCAGCGGCGACTCGCCTCCCGTGCCACTGGTGGGCCAAGCGGCATTGGATCAGATGCTAGTGGAATGGAAGGACCTGTGGAGCTGCGGGGGCGGCCAGCAGATGAGGCCTGCTGACTGGATCACCACGTCGGACCTGCCCCCGATCACGGCAGAGCAGGTGATAGCGTCGGCGAAGACGTTTGAGAAGAAGACGGCGCTCGGCTGGGACGGCTTCCACCCCAGGCTGCTGAAGATGCTAGGATGGCCTTTTGCGCAGCGCATGGCGGACGTGCTGACGCAATGGGAAAGGCACCCACAGCCGACGGCGATGTTCACTACGCTTATCGTCTTCTTGGGCAAGCCTGGGGGAGGACATCGCCCCATCGGCCTGATGTGCTTTTGGCTCAGAGTTTGGGGAAGGATTCGCAGGCAGTATTGTTTACAATGGGAGCGCGACCACCGCCTTCCTGAAATATGGGGCAGCAGCTCTGGCACCTGCTGCGATAGAGCAGCGTGCCTGCACAACCTGTACCTGGGCCTCGCTCGGAAGGTCGGCTTCGAAGGTGTCTCGGTGTACTTTGACCTTAGCAAGTTCTACGAGTGGATCGACCACGGGCAGCTGCTGAACGCGGCCGAGCTGAATGGTTTCTGCACAGGATTGGTACGCGCGCTCTGTGTGGCGTACTCGGGCCCGAGGCGGGCTACGGCAGACAGCGCCGTCAGCGAGGAGATACATGCGAGGGGCACGGTCATAGCTGGCTGCTCGTGTGCAACAACGATGGCCAGACTCATGCTGATGGACCTTCTTGTCAAGAGCCGAGCCAATCTCCCCATCGGGAGGATCGTCAACGTGATTGGCGACATCTCGGGCAATGGTATCGGATCCAGGGGGGTGCTAGTCAGCCAGGTGAACAGCTTCGTCCAGGGCGTCGTGGCGATGCTGAGGGACAAGCGGCTCCCGATCAACTGGGGCAAGACGAAGGTGCTGGCATCCTCAGTGGGCACCCAGCGCGAACTGATGAAGCAGGAGGGGTGGCCGCTGGACAGGGGCGCCTTTGCTCAAGGACACCGAGATCTCGGCGGCGACGCGACGGCTGGTGGCCACCGTATGGTGGCGACGCAGGTCAAGCGGGAGCTGGATGCACTCCGTCAGGCAGCGAGACTGACTCGCATCTTCGGGCCTGGGCTGCGGCAAGCTCGGGTGATGCGAGCTGGGCCGACCGCCAAGGCGCTCTGGGGCTCGGCCATCTCTGGAGTTCCACCAGGGCGCATGAGGGCGCTGAGGGTGGCCGCGGCGAAGAGCGCAGGTCGCCTGCCGCCTGGAGCGGCCCTCAGCTTTGCACTGCAGTGTGCGCCCCGTGGCTGGCGGCAGGACCCGCTGGTGGTCGCAGTGGGAATGGCAGCGCAGGCATTCGTCAACGTGGTGTGGTCTGGGCAAGCCTCTGCTGCAGCCTTCCAAGCGTGCATCCACGAACGCCAGCAGGTGCTAAGCAAGCAGCGGCCTTGGAGCTCAGTCCGTCAGCCGATAGCGGCGCTCACGCTCACCCTGCAGAGGATAGGCCGGCAGCTCGCCGTAGACGGCACCAAGCTGCTGGACGAGGACAAGAGGGAGTTCGAGGTGCTGCATTTCTCGCCCGCTTTCCTGGCGGAGTGGGCCAGAGAGGCCACGAGGAAAGCGGCCGCGCTGGAGGAGGCTCGTGATCGTCCTGGATCGCTCTGGCCATGGAAGCTGCCGCCACAGTGGAGGCCAGTCAACGAGCTGCTCGGCAAGAAGGAGACGGAGACCTGGACTGGGCACCACAAAGGGTGCCTCCGCTGGCTCGTCTCGCTCTCACACTGGCCCCAGGACCGTCTTGCGAGGCACTCCTCGGACATCGACCCGATCTGCAAGCTATGCCAGGCTGCACGGGGAACGATGTTCCACAGGCACCACGTTTGCCCAGCTTGGGAACCTTGGCGGCGCGACAGGCTGCCGCCCGACCTGAAGCGTGCAGCTTGGGTAGTCCACGAGATGGGCCCGCCGTTCGATGAGCTGTTCTGCCAGGGCCTGTTCGTGGATCCCTCCCAGCTGTTGCACCGCCCGTGCTGGCAGCCTCAATGGGAGCGGCTCTCGCATGGTTGGCATGAAGCAGTTGTGATCGAAGACGGTGCCATGGTTTTCACCGACGGCTCCTGTATCCTCGGTGACTTTCCGCGCCTGCGCAGCGCTGGCTGGTCGGTCGTCGTTCTGTCCAAGGAAGGGGCGATCCTAGCAGAGGCGTGGGGAGCTGTTCCCCCTAGTCTATGCCCATCGCATGCGGCGTGTGCTGGAGAAGACTACGCAGCGGTGGTGGCGCCCACGGAGGTCATTGGCAATTACCAGCTGCTGATCGACTGCAAGGGCACAGTGGACTCGGCGCTCAACCTTGGCAGAGCTCAGGGCCCAACCTCGACCCACGCCCATCTTTGGGCCAGAGTTGGGGGCGCCGCGGAAGGTGTGGAAGTCAAGCACATTCCTGCACATCGGTCAGAAGCAGCTGTGGCCAGAGGGGAGCTATCGGCTATCGAGCTCTTCGGCAACCGCCTAGCCGACAAGCGAGCGAAGGAAGGAGCCGCCCTCCACGCCCTTCCAGCCGACGATGTCCAGCTCCTGGAGGGCTGCTTAGCCAGGGCTCGCGACGCAGCCCGCTTCGCCGCAGAGATCGAGGTCTTCATCACGGATTCTGGGATGCGAGACTGCTGGCCGACGGAAGCCCAGGACAACGTCAACCTCCAACCGTACCTCTACCCGTGGAACCTGTCGTGGGAGTACGAGGACTACGACTTGTTGGACGCCTCCACGGCGCAGCGTGGCAGAGGCTCGGCAGCTGTGTCAGCGGCAGCCTTCGCCGCGGCGGCAGCGACCAGCGCAGCGGCCACAGGCGCAGCGGCAGGCGCCGCGGGCGGCGCAGCTGGGCCTACTCGAAAGCGCCCAGCGGCTGCGCTGAGGGCCGCATCCGCCCCAGCCGCCCCCATCGCTGTGGGGCCAGGCGAGGAGGGCAGTCATCGTGCTGAGGCAGCGAGCGAGGTGTTTGCCAGAGAGGTTCGGCGCAGGGCGGAGGCCAGGTCGGCAGCAGAGTCCCCTCAGCACACCCAGCTAGAGGAGCAACGCCCGCCACCTGCCCCCACGGCTGGACCAGAGCCATGGGTAGTGCACGGCCACAACATTATGCAGACCAACGTGGTGAGCAAGCCGAGCGAGGCCATCCTGGTGTGCACTCGCTGCTTCATGTACTGCCACCAGCCGCGGTATGCGCACAGGGGCCTGGCCAAGCCGTGTGTCGGTGGCGATCGCAGATCGAGCCAAGGGTCGCGTGCTCAGGCCAGGACTGACTTCGGCAGATTGCGATTGCCAGGCAAGGAGAAGCCGCCGATCGTGATGCTCAAGTCGCCGACGTTGGAGGAGATGCAGCCCTGGCGAAGGTCGCTCAAGGTGGATGACCTCGACTGGCCCAACCCCCAGGTGGGCGAGCTCCTGGCGGCGGCGCGGGCTGGCGGCCCAGGAGGCTCGCCAAGGCCTGCGGCTGCACAGCCTGCGGCGGGGCGTGCTGCGGGCGCGGCTAGGCCTGCGGGCGGTGCGGCGGCGGAGTCGGCGAGCGCCTCGGCAGCCGTGGGCGCGGCGGCGGTGCAGCCCGCGGTGCGCGCGGGCTTGCAGGAGCTCTCAGTGCCCGACCTGGAGGGCGTCCTCCGCGCGCACGGCTTCGCGTCGGCGGACGACGCCCGCGCCCGAGGGCGAGAGGCAGCCCAGGTGCGCGGGGAGCGTGACCGCGCGCTGGAGCGCGGCGAGGCGGCCCCGCGGGCGGCGAGGAGGCGGGGCCGACGCTGGTGAGCGCCCCCCTCGGCCGCCGTGGGGCCCTCGGCAGTCCCGCGCCGTTTGCGCGGGCCTGCGGCCCGCTGAGAATTTGTGGCATGACCACGCGGGGGCTCGCGCCCGCTCGAAGAGTAAAAAAAAATGCCCCCACCGTTCGGTGGGGGCGTTCGCTAAGGAATGTGCCCAGGAGACTGCAGACCCTGCAGGCTTCCTCGTCTGATCAGGGCGGCGGTGATCTCCATATGGCCGATCCACTGGTGCAGTTACCCATGGGGTACCAGGCCCTGTGCTCCTTATCTCCAAAGGGTTCCTCATCTAACGCCCTCACCGTATAGCTCGTTTTCGGGGCCGCTCGTCCAAGACCTCCTCTTCTTCCTCCCGCCTTCGGAGGAGGAGGAGGAGGAGGATCAGGAGGAGGAGATGGAGTGGGAACGGGTGGGAGGGTGTGAGGAGCGGGGGCCGGGCGGCTGGAAGCGCAGAGGGGCGCGGGCTGGCTTCCCGCCCTCCCCAGAAGTCCACCGTGATCATCATGCGGCACTGCCTCCGCGCCACCCCGGAGGACGGGATCACGGCGAAGGAGGGGTTCAGCTACTACAGCAACTACTCGAAGGAGGGACTGGGGGGGCAAGGGGAGCGCGAGGAGGCGAGAACTTGGGGACGGTGGGGAGCAACGGGGAGGAAGGCGGCCCAGGAGGAGGAGGAGGAGGCGGCGGAGGAGGAGGCGGCGGAGGAGGAGGAGGAGGAGGCCGCCCCCAGGCAGGAGCAGTACAGTCAACCCGCACAGTCAGCATGAGCGGCTTTCCAAGGTTTGGCCGTTTTCGCTGGCCGCGCCCCGCTCGCAAAGTGTCGGCACGGCCCTCCAAGGCCCTTGCATCCTTGCCGTGCGTCCTTCTTATACGGGTTGACCGTCGGCGGGGGCGCGGCACCGGCAGAGCTGGGAGCGGCCGAGCCCAACCAGTGAGCATGACAAGAGCAAGGTTATCCCCTCCTCCTTCTCCTCCAGCCCCCCCCCCTCCCCTTCCCCCTTCTTCTCCTGCCGGGGTTCCGAGCCACTGTTTCGTTTTGTTGGTGGGGTTTCGTCGGGCACGCTGATGGGCCGAACGCGTCTGCATCCCCGTCGTGCCATCCGTACTGGGATGACCGGGGGGGGTTCTAAATGGATAGGGGGGTTACAAGTGGATGCCAAGGTGGGTTATATCTGGCCCAACCTGGCTTGTAAGCGGGCTGCAAGTGCCCTCAGTAGCTTAGGAGGTGTCGATGACTCGGCTAAGTGGGCGGAGCCCTCCTAGCCCAGATCGTGAACCCCCCTGAGCTACTCAGGGCACTTGTAACCCACTTATAAGCCAGGTTGGGCCAGATATAACCCACCTTGGCATCCACTTGTAACCCCCCTTTCCGCTTAGGACCCCCCCACGGTCATCCCAGTAGGGGCGCTGCCCGCAGCGTTCGACTCGCTCCACCTCCCTCACCCCCTTCCCTTTTTCCACCTCGTCCTCGTCGTCGTCCTTCATCCCTGGCCTCCTGAGAGGAGCTGCAGCTGCACAGGTTGTCTCAGACGGGCTCTGGACATCGACCATTGCCCTTCCCCTCTTTCTGCTCCTCTCCTTGTTCCTCGTCCCACTCTTCCCTCCGGTGGCCTTACCCACCTTGCCACCTTGATGAAGGATCGTCGTTCATTCAGGTCAGCCGATGCTGTTCATGGAGTCTTGCGGGGCGTGTTTTGCAGAGGAGGACGAGACTCCTCGATTGAACCTTGATCTTCATTTTTTGTTACGGTAGGTAGCTGGCCAGGAGGCGGCGGGAAGATGGGTGCAGGGAGGCATGCCAAGCATGGCGTGAGGAGGAGACGGGATACGGCATGCGTGGCGCCGTATACATGCGTCTGGGCAAGTGTCGCAGTACTGGTAAACATATGTGCCACTTGTTCGATGCTGTGAGCCGATCGCGCAAGCTTGTGTGCCGATCATCGTTTGGCTCAGGGCTGCTGGCAGCTTGCAGCATGTGGAGCAGCAGACGGCCTACAGCCGTACCTCCTGACGCTCCACGAGATGGTACACGGACCCGCTTCAGCAGATGAGATCAGGAGGCCGAGGGAAGAGAGGTTACGCTGTGCTGTCCGGGCTGGTCGTGGACGGTACGTCCGTCGTCCCCCCCTGGCCATGGACCATGTGAAGAGCATGGCAAACCTCCAGTGGTGGCTAGCAGACCAGCTGCGCACCGAACAGGTATCCGACATGTTGTGGACACCCGCGACATTGCGAACAGAAGTGTCGGCTGGGAGCTCATCCTCGACATGTGGCGGGGAAGTTCCCTACGAACGCCCCACAACGAGGTTGAGTAAGGAGCCGCACAAAAAGAACGGTGCCGAGCTCCCGCCACAGCAACCTCAACAGGGACAGCGACGACGCTACTGGGCAACCCAATCGGCGTCGCACGTCGGGATTGTTTTCGCGAGTGCAGCGGCCGACGCGCATTTCGCGAACTACGTTCGCGGATACAACGACCGACGCGCCATTCGCGAACTGAGTGCGCGAATGCGACGCAGTCCATCAGCATGCCAGTGGGTGGATCGCTTCCACGAGCAGTGCTCGTGGGGCAGTAGGTTCTGGACAGCAGAACATGCCAGTGAGCAACTGCGTGCTCCATTCGACTAGTCATACTTCGGGCAGCTTTATCAAGGGCCTGGTCAGTGAAAAGGTCCTTTGTGTTCAGCGCCCCTCATTCGCGCAGATGTTTGTGAGGAGCGTGGTTCGTATAACGCCCTCAGATCTCAACTTGCCCTTGCTTCCTTGATTTGGGTGCGGGTTTCGGATTCGGACCGACGAGGCACACTCATATTCGTTTGAGCACCAGGCTCGGACGGTAGGTGTGTGTATGCAGCCCTTCTAATGCCTTTTCTCCTCTTTCACTATGCAGAAGAAGCGTGATGCTATTTCTAAGGCCTTTAGAAACGACATGCCCCGCCGCTGCCGTTTTTGTGGTGGTTCGGGGGCACGAATGCTGGCCAAGCCTTCGTGCCCGTGCTACACCTGTTTTATCCCTGAGCCGTGCGTCTCAGCTCACCCTGCAACAGATCTTCTTAGTTTTGCGCTGTTGTTGTCCTGGAACGGGGCCACCGCTAGTGGGGTGGAAAGACCTTCCCGCCCCCCCCTCCTCCAGGCTCTCGTGTAGCAGGGCCCGGGCGCCGCCGTTCATGCACTTGGGCCGCCGCCATGCCTCTGTCCACAACCACCACCACCACCACCACCACCACCACCGCCACCACCACCACCACCACCACCACCACCACCACCACCACCACCACCACCACCACCACCACCACCACCACCACCACCACCACCACCACCACCACACCACCACCACCACCACCACCACCACCACCACCACCCCGTTCCCTCCCCCCCCCTCCTGCCCCGTCCTCCCTCCGTCCTGCCCCTCTCCTCGCCCCCCCATTCCTCCCACGCTTGTCCCCCCCCCCCTTCCGCCCCCCTCTCTGCCTACCCCTCCTTCCTCCTCTCGCCCCCCCGCCCCCCTCGGAGGTCCTCGCCCCCCTCCGCTCCGAGGACCCCTGGCCGCTGTTCGACGTGCCCGGGTACCACTGCCTCCCCCGGGGGGAGGACCGCCGGCCTGCGGGCGGGGCGGGGCCGCGCTCCGCGCTCCCCCCTCTCCTCCGTGTTCTTCCCTTCCCCTTCCCCTCCCTCCTCTCCCCTCCCTCGACCGCCTCCTCCGCTCTTGCAACTTCCTCCTCCTCCTCCTCCTCCTCTGCCTCATCTTCTTCCTCCCCTTCCGATGGGTACGGCGACGAGGATGAAGGGGGCGAGGCAACACACGGAGGAAGAGGGGGCGGACGACGACGACGAGAAGAGGTATGCTGGTGATGCTGGTGATGCTGGTGATGCTGGTGATGCTGCTGCTGATGATGATGCTGGTGAGGATAATGCTGATGGTGGTGGTGGTGGTGGTGGTGATGATGTTGCTGATGACGGTGCTGATGAAGAGGAGGAGGAAGAGGATGAGGAGGAGGAAGTGGAGACGGAGGATGCAGTAACACTTGCCTCCAAGTTCCCTCTTCACATGCCCCTGCAAGGATTTGTGTTCACTGCGGAAAGCGCTCCATTGGAAGCCAACCGTTTGAAAACCTTCAACCACGCTAACGCATCGCCCCTGCGCGAATCAACATGGCTGCTGCGCCTTACAAGTCCTTAGTCGTGCCAGAACACCATTTCTGGGACTTCACAACACCGCGAGCCAACGTGACAGATGCATCCTCACAGTCTCAACCGTGCCAGAGCATCGTTCCTGGAACCTCAACCATACAAAGCCTTCAACAGCTGCAAGTTTTTGAGACGAGTGCGCGCATTTGGTGTTTTATTAAAGGCGAGAGACACATGTTGGAAACGGCCCGCCCTCCATCCGTGAAGCTGTTGGAAGCTTTCAGACAAGTGTGCGCGCCGCCAAGGGCAGAGCCACATTTTCAAAAACGGTCCGCCCTCCGTCAGCGAAGCGGCTGCAAGCGTTTAAGACGGATGCGCACGGCTCTGAGGCGAGAATACCATTTTGAAAACGACCCGCCCTCCATCCGTGAAACTGCTGCAAAGACCAAGCTTCAGGAAGCAACATGGTGAGGAAGGCGAGGGAACGCCTGGCCCGTCCTGTCTGGAAGGCTTTCAGACAAGTGTGCGCGCCGCCAAGGGCAGAGCCACATTTTCAAAAACGGTCCGCCCTCCGTCAGCGAAGCGGCTGCAAGCGTTTAAGACGGATGCGCACGGCTCTGAGGCGAGAATACCATTTTGAAAACGACCCGCCCTCCATCCGTGAAACTGCTGCAAAGACCAAGCTTCAGGAAGCAACATGGTGAGGAAGGCGAGGGAACGCCTGGCCCGTCCTGCCGACACGTCTGGAGGCGCGACAGGGAGGATTTGTTTAAAAAGGAATCGTGATGGAGGAGAAGGGGGAGGAGGAGCAGGAGGAGGAGGATGAGGAGGAGGAGGAGGAGGAGGAGGATGGAGGAGTGGAGGAGGAGGGGGGAGGGGAGGGAGAGCGGGAGGGGGGAGGAGGGGGAAACGGAGGAGGAGGAGGAGGAGGAGGATGAGGAGGAGGAGGAGGAGGGAGGAGGAGGAGGAGGCGGAGGCGGAGGAGGCGGAGGAGGAGGAGAGAGGAGGAGGAGGAGGGGAGGAGGAGGAGGAGGAGGAGGAGGAGGAGGAGGGGAGGAGGAGATGGAGGAGGAGGGGAGGAGGAGGAGGAGGAGGAGGAGGAGGAGGAGGAGGAGGAGGAGAAGGAGGAGGAGGAGGAGGAGGAGATGGAGGAGGCGATGGAGGAGGAAGAGGAGGAGGAGGAGGAGGAGGAGGAGGAGGAGGAGGAGGAGGAGGAGGAGGAGGAGGGGTCCCAGCACTCCAGCTTCCTCGGCCTGACCTGCCCCTCTGGCTTGCCCGGCGTTCCCCCGGCATTCCCAGCTTCCCCGGCCGCCCAAGCTTTCCCCGCCCTCCTGGCCTGCACTGCTCTCCCGTCTTGCCAGACTGCCCAGCCTTCCTAGCTTTCAAAGCGTGCCCAGCCTGCTCAGCTGTCCCAGGTGTCCCAGTTTGTTCAACTTGCCTGGCCTCTCCAGTTTTCTCATCTTGCCAAGCGTTCCCAGGTGCTCCATCTTCCCCAGCTTCACAGATCGTTTTTTCTTGGCCGTTCCAGCGTCATCCGATCTCCTAACTTTCCCAGATTTACCTGCTGTCCCAGCTTCCCTAGATTTCTTACTGCAGCTGTCCTCGATGTCCTAGCCCAGCAGTCCCAACTTGCCCAGCCTTGCCAGCTCTTCCCTGCTTGCCCAGCCTGCCCAGCTTATCAGCTTGCCCATCGTGTGAAGCATCCTCAGCTTGTCCGGATTTCTCGACCAACCCAGCGTTACTGACGTTCTCCGCCCCGAATTCCCAACGTGCCCTACTTTCGCAGCTTCCCCAGCGTTCTCAGCGTTCCCATCTTGCCCCACTTTCCCAGCGTTTCGAGATGTCCCACTTGTCCTGATGTAGTGTTCGTAGCTGTTCAAGCTTCCTCATACTCCCCAGATGTCCCAGACTGCCCAGCTTTCCGAGCTTTCCCGGCTTTCCCAGGCTTCCCAGTTTGCCAAGCCTGCCCCGCTTTCCCAGCTTTTCAATCCATGACTGTTTTCCACGGCATCCCGGCTTTCCCCGTTTTCACAGCGTTCTCTACCGTCTCAGATTCCCCAGCTTCTCAGCTTTCACAGTTTCCCGAGCTTTCCTAGCGTGTTCAGCTTTCTCCGCTTTCCCAGCGTTCCCAGATGTATTTGGTTTCCCAGTTTCCTCCTCTTGTGTTGCGTTCCCAGCTTGCCCAGCTGTCCGCGCTTCCCCAGCTTCCCTTGCCTCTCCCAGCTTGTCCAGCCCTCAGGGCTGGCCCAGCTTTGTCCGCTGTCCCAGCGCTGCCCACTTTCTCAGCACTCTCCCTTCAGTGGCGCAGTCCGCATGGCGGCGCCGCCCCATGTTCGCACACCCCATCACACGTTTCGTGGCACCATAGGCGGCTCCGCCTCAGGTCCCAGTGGCGCAGTCCGCACGACAGCGCCGCCCCATCTCGGCACACCCCTCGCACGCCTCGTGGCCCTATAGGGAGCTCTCCACCTCAGGAACCCAGTGGCGCAGTCCGCACGGCGGCGCCGCCCCATTTTTTGGCGCACCCCTCCGCTTCCTCTGCCCTCCGGCGATTCCAGCTGCGCGCGCCGGCGGCGAGCCGCCCTCGACGAGCGCGGGCTCAGCGGCCAGGCCGCACACGGCGCGCCCTCGCGGGGGCCCCGCGCGCGCAGCCCGTGCGACTGGTCCCGGGCGGCGCCTCGCGCACGCTGCGCTCGGGCGCCCAGGCGAGGCACGCACGGCGCTGTCGTCGACGTGGCGCCCGGGCGGCTTGCCGCCCCCCTTGGTGCGCGCGCGTCCTCCTCCTCCTCCTCCTCCTCCTCCTCCTCCTCCTCCTCCTCCTCCTCCTCCTCCTCCATCCTCCTCCTCCTCCTCCTCCCTCCTCCTCCTCCTCCTCCTCCTCCTCCTCCTCCTCCTCCTCCTCCTCCTCCTCCTCCTCCTCCTCCTCGCCGCCGGCAGAGGTGCCGAGGCGTGCGGCCGCTCGACCAGGGGTGGACCTCAACGGTGCCGTGGCGATCTCGCGGGCCGTTTGCGTTTCGGCCCCGCTCTGAAGCCAAGAGGAGGCACGCAGACAAGAATTGGGGAGACGCGAAGGCGAAGACGAGAACGACGAATACCGTTTCGGTCGAGCCCTGCGCTCGATCGATGCCTCGAGATCGCCCGATGCCTCGAGCGCCATCCGCGAGGCGCGAGCGGTGTGCCGGCGTGCGCTAGGCGTGGGCGCAGGGGCTGGGCCCAGCGGCTGGTCCCCTGCTGGCGCTGGGCCAGCATGCTCCTTGTGCTCTCTCTCGCCTCTGCTGCTGCTGCTGCTGCTGCTGCTGCTGCTGCACAACATCCACCTCCTCCTCCTCCTCCTCCTCTTCCTCCTCCTCCTCCTCCTCCTCCTCCTCCTCCTCCTCCTCCTCCTCTCGTTCTGTGCACACTGCACGGTCGCTTGACCTGCCCTCCGCCTCTCATCTGCCCTCGCCTCTCGTACAACGTGAGGTCAACCGACTCACCGCGACTTCGACAAATCAAGACCTGAGGTCTGGTGCCCTTGGACGGTGTCGGCGTGGCGATGACGAAGCTGCGGGCACACCGGTCCGTAAGCCTCTTGCTCGAGCTGCTGCCCCCGTGCCTCGATCGCCAGCCCGCGTGGCCCGCGACCGAGGCGCGTAGGCGGCAGCTCAGCTTCTCCAACCCCGCGGTGTGTCCGCGTGGCGTCTCCGACCCCGTGGGTGGTGCCGGCCCGGAGCTCCGAGGAGGAGCTGCCGATGCACCGAGGCCCTTGCCTCGTCCCCTCGGCCGGCCTCGCCTCGAGGTGCGGAGCGGAGCGCGCCCCTGGAGGGGTCCGCGGAGCACCGCGGAGGCCTTTGCCGAGTTGCGCCCTGCTTGCCTCCAGGGTGCCCTGGGTTTCTCGGGCTGCGAGGGCTATGCGATGGAGAGCCCCACACCACAAGTCAGTGGACGCCCTGGGGTCTCAGGGTTGGGTCTCTTGTGGAAGGTTTCTGGTGGGCTGGCCTCCCCTGTGGCGGGGTGTGGGACTTCGTAGTGCGTTGCCTCAGGAGCCTCTGGCTCAAGCGGCTGCCTCGGTGCCTCGGTCGCGGGGGCTGGCGCCTCCGGCACCGGGCGCCCGCTGCGATGGACTTCCAGCAGCTGCTCTGCCAGCTCGCGGGCGAGCACCGCCGGCTGGAGCAGGAGACCAAGGAAGAACGAATTGCATGGACCAACAACTTCTCGGAGGTCCACGCAGAGTTCTCAGATCGGTGCTGGGCCCTCCTGGCGGCGCCTCTGGCGCGCTCCGCGCGCCAGGGATTACCAGCCTCGAACGTATCCCTATCCTTAAGATTGACACACCAAAAGGCGATGACAGTCTTAGGGATTCGCCCTCAAAGAATAAGGGAATCCCTAAGATTGGCATCGTGATGAGGAGGTACCCAGCATACGGATAGGGATAGGTTCCAGGCTGGTAAAGCGAGGAGGGCCTGGCACCGATCCAAGGAGTCCGCGCGGCGTTCCCGAAGCTTCTGTTTACGTTGCTGCTTCTTCCTGCAGGAGAGGAACGAGCTATCAGAGGAGGTCTCCCGGCTGCGGAAGCGGCTGTCGGGGGGAAAGGCGGAGCTCCCCCCAGAGGCCGCCCCGCTTCCCGGGCACGTGACGTCGCCCACCGGCGCTCCCCGGCGCAGCGCCGACAGCGACGGGGGCACGCCGGAGCAGCTTGGCGTGGTGGCCGTGCGGGCGCTCGCCGCGCGGCAGCTGAAGAGCGAGGCCGCAGAGACGGAGGGCCACTTCGTGTCGGTGAGCGTCGAGGCCGGGCCCCACTCGTCGCCAGGGGCTTGATAATAGCCCGCCGTTTCCAGCGACCATATGCGGCTGCGCCATCGGAGGTGCATGGATCGCCGAGCTGTCGGCGAGGCATCGGCGATGCATCGCCGATTCCGGGTCGATGTTTCACCCCCTGAGCCGGCCCCCTGGTGGTTTCCTCGGGTCATAGCTCGGGCCCCGGGCGGCCGTTCGGGACGAGCCAGGACGCCCTGGAGCGCCCTCGGCGGGGCGCGGCCGCTGGAATAGGCACCCACGCAGAGCAACGACGCAAACCGGCGGACACCTCGAGCCTCGAACCCGAAACTTCCACTGCCCCTCGCGAGGCGGGGCCGCCCTCGACGACCCCCACGCAGCAGGGCCCCGACACGGAGTGGCGCGGCTTCACGGCGGGCCTGTTGGCGCAGCCGCACCAGAAGACGCTGGAGCTGCGGGTGTTCGAGTCCCTGGGCGAGGGCCAGTCCCCCAGGACGCCCGGCGCGGCTCCGTCGTCGAGTTTCGCTCCCTCCCGCCGTCAAGCGGTGGCGAAGCGCCCTGGCGTGCCTACGAAAGAAAGATTGTCCTAAGAACTTGTTCTGTGGTTTGCACGAAATGTTTTTAGAGCATGTCTGGCTGGGGCTGTCTTGTTCTAACACATCCGGTTGATGTTCTGAGAGCAGTGTTTTTGTTCTTAGGACATTTCTGGGTTCTAAGATCATGTCTTGGTAGGCCTACAGGAATGCCGGGGCGGTCGGTCCCTGCTCAGCGCCGGGGGAGGCTCGGAGAGCAACAGCCGGCAGCGGGCGGAGGAGGCGAGGTGCCGCCGCGCTGTCCGTGCCGACGCGCGGCCTCGCGCCTTGGGGCGGGGCGGGGCGGGCACGCAGGGGCAAGCTCCGCCGCGGGCGCACGGTTCGCCGCCGGGTTTGCCGCGGTGCCGGCTGCGTCTGCTTGGGCGCGGGGCGCGGGGTCTGTCGCGGGCTTGCAGCGGTGTCGGTGTCGTCCACTCGGGCGCGTCAAGAACAAGCGGCGCGGCGACAGATGCCGACACCGCTGCTCGTCGTGGAGAGCCCTCGCCGCCACGACTGGATTCTCCTCTAAATCTTGGTCAGCGCGCGCGCCTCGAGAGGGCCGTCGAGTAGCGGCAGCGGTATCTCGTTGTTCCTCCATCTTTTTTCGGAGATTCGCGTAGATTGCCTGGATAGGCGCTGGGCGCCGCCCCTGGTGCGCACCGAGCGCCAGGGAGGGGGGTCCAGCGCCGACCCGAGAAGTCCGCGCGGAGCCGGGAATGGTCGTGCTGTTTTCTCTTGCTGCTCCCCGAGACCGGCGCCAGGAGGCGCCAGAGAACCCAGCTGCGAGAGCCGTGGGCGACAAACAGCTGCGAGGAGGAGGAGGAGGAGGAGGAGGAGGAGGAGGAGGAGGAGGAGGAGGAGGAGGAGGAGGAGGAGGAGGAGCTGCGAGAGCCGTGGGCGACAAACATAGCCGCACCCGCAGCCTCGCGGGCGTGGCCCCGGGGGGCCGCGACCCCGAGGCTGCGGGGCGGGGCGTGCTGTCCCTGCGCGGAGCGCATGTCCGTGTGACCGCTTACAGTCGGGGCGCTGAAGAAGGAACCGTTTTCGTTGGGGAGGGGCTCGGCGTTCCTTGGGTGTTTTACAGTTTGCCTTGGGTCGTCCTGAGGTCTTCCATGGGAAATCGAAGTTGAACATGTGGGAAAAAGGGGCCTCGTTCCTCATTTAGGGTTCCTTAGGTCAACGCCCCGACGGTATCTGCGGGACTGCGCCCCGGAGTCCAGACCGCGAGGGCGCCCCTGCGGATGTGGTCGCCGCGCGTGAGAGAGTCGACTCGCTGGCCCGCCCTCTGCTGCAGTCCACCCGCAGGTGGTGATGAGGAGCGGCTTTCCGAGGCCACCCCCTGCAGCCTTCCTCTTCGGCCCATCCTGGGCCGCTTTCGCTGCTCGCGCCCCGTCCGCACAGCGTCGACGCGGCCTTCCCGGGCCTTTTGCGTCCTCTCCGTGTCCTTCTTGCATGGGGGTTGACTGCAGCCCCTCCCTGTCGCCACGCCCCGAGGTACGGTCAGCGAGGCCTTTCTGCCAATGTGGCGTCTTCGGGCGGTCCCGAAACGAGCCGCGAAATGCACCCTCCTCGTCCTCCTCGTCGCCCTCGCCCTCGCCCTCCTCGTCGCCCTCGTCGGTCCTCGTCGTCCTGCAGGAACGCGGGGAGCAGCTCCGTCGGGTTCCGCGCCCTCGCGCCAGGGGTGTGGCAGAAGCGGGCGTGCGAGCTCGGATGCGGCGAGAGGGGGGCGAACGGCCCAGCGAAGTGGGGGTGCTCCAGCAGGAGGGCCTGGTCCTCGAGAGTCAAAGGAGGAGATGTCCTCCCCGGGGGGGGAAGGAGGGGAAGGCGGGGGCGGAGGAGAACGAGGCTGAGGAGCAGGATGCGAGGAGGCAGAGGAGAAGGAGGCGGAGGAGGAGGCGATGGAGGAGGAGGATGCGGAGGAGGGGGAGGAGGAGGAGGAGGAGGAGGAGGA